ATCTACTGACACATTCATCTGATGATTGGTAAAAAGCATCGTAGTGAAAACTGTCAATAAAGATCATCTGTGGCATGAATACATGACGTCCACTCACATCACAACAACCAGAGACGTAGGAAGTAGAGTTCAGTAGAGTTGAGGCTGAACAAAACTTTATTTAAACCCTTCAGACACATTCATATGAAGCCTTGATGGATTTTTCTCCTTGTTCTTCATAGATAGCTGAAATGAAGACCAAGGCTGTAGAAGATGTGGAGACTCAGACTGAGAACAATCAGGTTCATGTGTTTGTATTTACTGAAATATCTCAACTCTCCTGTTTGATGTAGAAAATATCATGAAAATACTCAGAATCTGGAAACAGTTGGTGTCATTGAGTTCATTGATCAATGACTCACTTTAATCAATTAACTTGTGTTTCTCTTTTCACTCCCAGTTGGAGGAAAACCAAGCCAACTTTTTCGTGTTCCCCAGCACAAATTTCACACCAATACATTTCAGTTGGAATTATGTTTCGTGTTTTTTCCCGATTAGACAGCACATATACTGTCATGTTTTTGTCATTCTTTTCTTCCGACAGTCGGGCATTAACCAATGTTACTGTTATGGCCCGTCCACACCGATAACTGAAGACATCACTGTACAGATGTGTGGCCCACTCTGACCAACATCAATGTGTCCTTCTTTTCAGAGTTGTGTTCGTTTACAGAGAAATGAAGGTAATGACGAGCATGTAGCCCAAACACAGTAAAAGCACGTTTATTTTACCACAAATAAACGATAGTAGCTTTGAACAATATCGTTTGGATCTCAGAGGAGCTTTTCTCTGCCTGGATATTTTTTGAATGAATACAGAGCTTATACACAGCGCCGGTGTTTCCAGAATGTTGACATTGGTCAGTGTGGGCCACACATCTGTATAGTGATCTCTGTAGTTATTAGTGTGGACGGGCCAGAACAGGACAACTGGTGAAGAAAAGAACGACAAACACATCACAGTATATGTGCTGTCTGATGGGAAAACATGTCCCAGACATGAAACATAATTCCAGTTGAAATGCATTGGTTTGAAATTCGTGCTGGAGAACACAAGATAGTCGGGCAAATCATGTCCCAGTTTCGTTACTATCTCACAAATTGCTGTGAGACTGGGTTGGGTTCACAGTCCTCCTCCCAGTTTTCATTTATAAGAAAACACACTTGAAGTAAAACAACAGTCAGTGCAAACACACAGTCTGGATGAATTGAAAACAAACATGATGGTTTACTGACATGTTGTCAGATAAAGTGTTTTACATGATTGTTTCTTCTCGTTGAATCCTGACCGGCGTCTTCAGGCTGAGCAGGAGAAGAAAGTGAAAGTTGAGAAAGAAGTGACATCTTTAAAGAAACAGGTTCATCTTTGTATTTTATACAGATAATATTTCTTTCCAGCCCCTTAATAGTCAAAGGCACCGATATTTTATGCAGTTTGTATATTTAAAGGAACAAATCTCAAAGACTCAAATTTCTAACAAACATGATGTGATTTCCAAACTTCTACATCTGTTGAAGTGATTTTTATTAAGGCCCGAGCACTACAGTGCGTAGCACCCTATTGGAATGCAAGGAATTATTATTTTCCGCACAAAACAAAAATGTTTTTGAAAGGCCTGCAAAGCTCATGAAAATTTGTACACACATCAAGACTGGCGAAGTATTTTACATTTTAAAGGAGCTGGGCATGTCAATGGCAAAATGGCTCCACAGAGCCCCCCTGAAAATTTCTTCAGACTCCTGTTGCAAGCATATTTGGCCAAGAACTACAAAATTTAGTAGGCATATGGAGCAGGTCAGGACAAACAACAAAGTTATCCAGCTCCAAGCTCTAACATGCAATATGGCTCAACTGCTCCCCCTACAAAATTTCAACAGAGTCCCATCGGGGCTACGTTTGACTGAGAGCTACACAATTTGGTACACATATGGAGCAGGTTATGGCGCATGAAAAAGTCAATCAGCGCGTTTCCATAAACCCAACTCAGCCATTTAAAAAAAAAAAAAAACAGCGAGCATCAGAGGCCATTTTTGCCCATTTTTGCCCATTTTTGGCTATTTTCGATATCTGTCTTCTCCTCAGGAGTACATCATACACAAGTCAAATTTGGCCAGCACAAACTACATGAAATGGTGATTAAAATTTATTAAAATGCTTCGCAGAAGTCTGAGGTCATGGAAGTGGCGGCCCATGCAATTTCGATGAAAGGCCATTTTGCGCATTTTGCCTGTGTTTCTGGCATTTAATGGAGTCCCATCGGAAGGCTATTTGACCAAATCCTAAAAATTTCGGTGGGAGTATGTTGCAGGTCGGAACGCACAAAAACGTAAATCAGTGCCAAGCCCCAAACCTAACAGGAAGTCCGCCATTTTGAAAAAACACAGTGAGAATTTGGAGGATTTTTGCTTATTAAAACTCTCCGCAAAAGTCTGATGGCATCAAAATGGCGGCCCTCTGAACTTTGATGCTTCGCCATGAAGGAGGAAGTGCTGTCTCCCTGCCCTCTGCATGCTGCACTCTGCCTCAAACTTTACATGTTGGGTCAGAGTCCTGCCCTGATGACATTCTCATGCCATTATCCATTCACAGTCACAGCGCCACCATCTGACAATGAGAAAGGACATGTNTGACTTTATTCTGTATTTTTTGTTTTGTGTTTCATACACACTCCTGACTTGAAGTATTTCTTGAAAGGCAAAAGGTTCAATAGATGAACCTGCACAGCCTGATTCTCATCCTTTTATTTGCATTATATGAAACACCTAACTTGACTTTTCCAGTGATACTAGTTGCCTCCACTTTTCTTTGTTATTCATTGTTATTTTGATTTTGTTATTTTATCTCGTGTACGCTGTCAGTTTAGAATTTCTTTATACATGTTTTTTTTGTAACGGAGAGAAGAAAAAATTGAAAGATAGATATTTACTTTCAACCTTGTGATACAGATGTTTAGTTAGATTTTTAACTGCTTTAAAAACAACAGCAACAAAATTGTGCTGACAAACCTTTTAGCTTTTGCGATCAAATTGCAAAACAAACAAACAATAAAGTGTAGACGTGTATCTATGAAAAATTCCACAGTGAACCGTTCATGAGTAAACTGTAGCTGCAAATCATGAACATTCATCCTCATTCTTCATTGGCTGATGGTTGATTTATGTCACTTTTTTCTGCATTTTGAGCTTCAGGAGGATTCAGACATGATGTCAGATCACTTTGCAGTAAATACTGATGTCAGTACAAAGAGCCAACAGTTTGCATCATTTCATCCTGAACTTGTGAAGAAACGGCTGAAGCTGATCTAATCTGATCTAATAAAGTTCATCAAGTCAAAGTTTCATTTGGAATCTTTTAATTAAACTTTAAAACTCATTGTTATGTTGTAGATGAAGCTTATTTCTGTTATCAGAATAATATTCATGATGTCAATAAAACTCAACGCAGAATGTGTTCTTGTTCAGTGACTTTTATTGAGTTTACCTGCATTATTTCCTTTATTTACCAACTTCAGAAGTTTTTGTGTAAACTTGCTGATTTACTTCCAATTAAAATAGCTAATATAAGTAATGCTGAGATCCTGAAGAGGTCAGATATGCTGCAAGATCCTGTAAAACAACCAAGACTCTGTGTAGCACAAACTTCTGCTGCTTTGAGACACACAAAGAACAAAGCCAGTGAAGCAGCAACACGGCAGCAGGTTTAAGCTGCTTCTGTGACCATTTAAACCACAAACGTCATGATCTGTTTTTACATGTCCTCATATACACGTTGTAGTTTCTACTGAACCAGACATACGTGACCTTCTCGTGCGATTTGAGAAGCTCGAATCAACGCTGAACATCAGAACTGAAATAAACCTGATTTTAAAATAGTTTGATGCATCAGTCACGACCTCTGTGGTTTCTGAGCTTTTCTACCCGTGAGAAAGTTGAACAGAAGCGACTGCAGGTATAAATATATCTCACAAAGACATCTATCACTTGACAGCAAACTAAACATGAGCAAAAGTGATTATAAAGCAGATTAAATCGTCATTAGAGACCAAACTTGCTTCCAGGATTCTCAGCCGGTTACCTTCATGTGTGAATATCAGTTCATTTCTGTGCGACTCTGAGTTTCCCAAAGTGAATCAGTCCAACCAGCAGCAGCAGCAGAACCACCATCACGATGGTGAACACGGTCCTCAGGAGGAGATAAATACGGGTCGAATGGTCTGCAGAGGATTGAAGAGCTGCAAGAACAAGAGAATATATCAGGACATGAACAGCATGAATCAGTTGGTCTGGAGGAGCTTCATGAGGTGTTGAAAACATGAACGACATGAATCTAAGCAGCTTAAATCAGACTTGTACCTCTGACAGCCAGCCAGCTCTGTGGTGATTCTCCAACACTGGAGATGCTGCACTTGTAGAGTCCTTCATCAGACCCAGA